CTGCTGGGGCGCGCGCAAATACTCCCCCCCCCCTCCACCTCTCCTGGCCCCCTCATTTTAAGTGGAACGAGGGGGCGGGATCCGTCGTGCTCAGTTGGAGGGCCCTGCAGCTCCCTAGGGCCCTCCAACTTCGCTGCAGCTCCAACCGGCGTCGATGACGCACCAGGCGCCGCAGCGCGCGGCTGCAGGAGGAGAGGAGGGCGAGGATGCGGCGTCGAGGATCCGAGGGGGATGGAGGGTGCTCGATCGACGCGGAGAAGGGTCCAGGAGATTCGACGAGGAGGAGATGGAGGCCCGACAAGTCGGAACATGGAGGAGGGAGGGAAAGAGGAGGAGGATCGAGGACGGCGAGAACGAGGAGGAGGAGGAGGAGGAAGGAGGAGGGGGATCGCCAGATCAGGCGGATCGACCTCCTCGTCCTGCAACTCGTCGTCCTCGGCGGCGTCCTCCTCCTCCTCTGCGTCCTCGTCGCCCTCGGGGTCGTCGAAGGCGGCCTCCAACAAGCTGTCGGCCAGCGCTGCGTCGACCGAGTCGTCGTCGTTGTCGGCGGCCTAGGGGATGGGGGGGGAAGGGGGGGCGAAGAGAATGACCGCCCGCGCAGTTGGCTAGCGAAGATGAGCGAAGGAAGCGCAACGAGGCAGGAAACGAGGGAGCGAAGAAGATGAGTCAGAAAGAAACGTCGGACGAAGAGATGGATGATGATGCTGATGAAGATGACGATGACGACGATGAGGATGATGATGAACATCATCCTCATCATCCTCATCGCCATCATCACCAGTAAGTCGGAAGAGGACGTGGACGGGGAGAAAGGGGGGCTGAGGGCGAGTCGATGGAGCAGCCAGAAGAGGAGAGCGGCCTGCTGGAGGAGATCAGCCGCCGACATCCTGTTCCTCCGCGCCCGTCTCGTCACCTCCTCGGGGAGGGGGGGCCAGCGTCGAGGAGAGGGGTGATATGTATATATATACACATGTTTTCATGTAGATATACATACTTGTGTCGATGTATAGATGCAGATGTAGATGTAGACGTAGATGTGGTTGTAGATGTAGATGTGTACATATATATATATATATAGTTGTACACGTGCGTCTACATGTATATGTATCCGAGAGATGGAGGCCGTGTCCTGGCATAGACCCATGATGCGTTCGGCGATCTTATGCTGCATGTCCTTGGCCTCTGTCTTCTTCACCTGGGCTGGCCCCAGCCGCAGGTCATGGATCCCCCCCGCCGCGCTGCTCCTATAGACCCGATGCTATATATATATATATATATATACCACTCCTATATACCTAGCCCTACTCCTACTATAGTACTCCTACTCCTACGTTTCCTCCCTCCCTCCTCCTCCTCCTCCTCCATATTCCCCCTCCGGCCATCGCCCCCGCGTGGCCTGCCGCGCCATGTCGACCGCCACCTTCCCCACGGCCTTGGCCATGCAGGGCTTCGCGAAGTACAGCTTGTCGTCCACCTGTCTCGTGTGTGCGTGGGGGTGTGTGCGTGTGTGTGTGATCGTGTGTGTGTGCGTGTGCGTGTGCGTGTGCGTGCGCGCGTGCGCGTGCGTGTGCGTGTGCGTGTGCGTGTGCGTGCGTGCGTGTGTGTGTGTGTGTGTGTGAGTGTGTGTGTGTGTGTGCGTGTGTGTGTGTGTGTTTGTGTGTGTGTGCGTGTGTCGTTTCCTCTCTCATGCCTAGCTCCTTGCCTCGATCCCAGTCCCCCTCCAGCTGCGCGCCTGGCACAGCGCCACCAGCAGCTCTTTGTGCTCCCTTATCGCGGCATGCTCGGCCTTCACCGTGTTCGCGAACTTCTGCGGGGGCGGGGGGGGGGGGGGGGGCGAGGTTCAGACAGGAGAAAGAGAAACGAGAAGGAGAGCAATCCTTCACGATCGGCGGCGCGGCCGCGAAGGGCCAGGGCTGCCTGCATGCCCGCGACATCCCTGGAAGCGATGGCCCCCTTCGGGGGCGTCCCTCTGCGGGCGATTCCCATGAGATGTGCCTGGGCCACAATGGCTGTAAACTACATATGTATGTGTATATATATATATATGTATGTATAGAATTTACGTGTGTATATATATATACATGTATTTATATATACATGTATACAAATGTGCCTATATCATAGATGCTCGGGGCCACTGCCTCGGAATCAACATCGGTAATCCCGCGTGCTCGATATATAGGACCCACGCGCTTACATGCAAACATCATGGGTACATAACAACTCATGGGTACCGTGCCTATGACATGGGGGCCACGACCCTCTGGGTATGTCACTGACACAGGTCAAGAGTCGAGCCCTTGCCATATTACGCGTCACAGGGGCGGGCCGTGCCCGCCCGGCTGCTCGGGGCGGGCCCCTCCTGGTCCACGGCGGGAGGCAAAAGGGATCGGCCGAGAGCGAGCGAGCAGTGTCCAGCCGGGGAAGGTGGCTGCTGGCCCATGGGCGACAGCGCGGCCCGCGGTCCCCCGCCTCGGAGGAGCGAGCAAGAGCGAGCGAAATTGCGCGCTGCCTTGGCCCCCTCGGGCTGGAGAGAAGACCTCGCTTCGACCCCCGTTGCCTGCGACGGCGGCTTGTCCCCCCGCTGAGGGCTCGAGGAGAGGGCGATGTCGCGATGCGACCGACCTGCCCTAATCTGGAGCAGCTCGCCCGCATATTCACGCAGGCCACTTTGATGGCGCTGGGGGCGCTTCCCTTCCACGCCGTGATCCGCTCCCCTTTCCGGGCAGACATCGCCGACCGGTTGGCGGCCGACAACTTCATCGCGCCCGAAGCGGCGCAGTCCATCTCCTCTCCGTTCCAGTGACCGAACCAGGTGCAGGAGATGCTCAGAGCGACCTCCCCTTGCACCTCGCGCCTGCCCCCCCCCCCCCCCTCTCCGCGCCGCCGCCCCCGCCGCGGGCCGCCGGGTCGCGAGAGTGGATGGGGGCTAGGAGTGCTCTGGCCAGCGCGCTCGCCTCTTGCACGTTCCACTCGCCAGGCAGCCCGACGCTGTTTAGTGGCTCGCAGAAAGCCCCCCCCCGCCCGCGCCACCTGGGGCGCGCGTTGCAACGGCGTGCTCGTGAGGCAGCTTGCAGCCCCCCTCACCGGGCAACGTCGGGTCGGGCTGCCCGAGATGCCCCCCCGGAACGTCAGATACCTACGAAGCACTCTCGCACAGGGGAACCAGGCCAAGCAGGCAGTCATCGGGCAAATCACCGGGACAGGGAGGGCGGCCTTCCTGCAAGAGACCCACTGGTCTCATGCAGGATCCCCGCTAGACATGCTCCCCGCTCATGTCTTGGCCACCATGCTCCCCGCTAGACACCCAGTCTCACCCCCTGCCTGTCCAGGCCCGACTGGAGGTTGCGCTGGGGGAATTGCCGCCCTGCTTCCCCAAGACTACGTGCTCCTCAACTCGGTGGAGATTGCCCCGGGGAGGGTTGTCGCGGTCACCGCGAGGCAGGGCGACCAGAGTTTCCGCTTTCTCTCTATCTACCTCCCTTCTTGCCTACGTGCAAGATGAAACCCTAGCTGCCATCTCGGAGGCCGCGGGGGGGGGGGTGCGTCAAAGCCGCAAGCGCCTGGATGGCGCCCCTTGCCCAGCGTGGAGAACGCCCAGTTGCTATGGCCCCGCGGGGATAAGCAGAGGTGGTGAATCTCAGATCGACATCATCGCGTGCAATACTGCCCCAACAATTTTCTATCGGATTCGGAAGGCCGGGGGGTCTTGCTTATCCGACCGCGCCTTAATCTGCGCCGCCCCGACCATCCAGTCTAGCACCAGGCGGCGCAATGCCATGAACCCGGGAACCTTCAAAGTCTCTTCCGAGGGCGCCATCGCGGAACCCCGCTGGAACTACGCACTCCTGGTGAAAACTTGTCAGGTTCCTCGCGTGGATATGTCCAGCCTCGCCCGGCCTTCTGACTGGCTGCGCGCGGCGTCCCCAGGGCGTCTCACCGCCGGCCGCCCCACTGCAGGGTGGCGGCCGAAATGCAGGAAGAGCCCGCCCCCAGCCCGTGCGGGCGGGCCTGGGCCGACCGCGCCCCCTCCCTTCTGCCCGCGCATGGTCCTATTCGGACGGCGTGCGTTATCAGTCATGCTCCAATCTTACAGGCGCGCGCGTGCCCAGTGCATCGGGCGCGCGCTGGCGAGGGCCGCGGCCAGAGGCCGCTCCTTCCGTCCATGTGACCCCGTGCCCAGGCCAAGTGGATGGCCTCTTGCGGATGGGGCGCCAGCGACCTCGCCCCAGGCGATGCAGCGCCCTGGCTGGCACGTTGGAGGGCCGACCAGACTCAGGGAGCAGCCGTGCGCCTCGCGCCTTGGCAGAGAGGTTCCCAGGCTGAGCGCCCACCCCGTATCCCCGCGCCATAAGGGTCAGAGCCGACGACGGGGCATGGGGGGATCGGCCGCGAGACGTCGGTCAAGTCCGATGGGGCAATCGCGCTGCCATCTGGCAATCCGCGCCACCACTCCCCCGAGCGGCGCAGGTGCTACTGGGCGACTACTTCGCCGGCGGCCGGGCGGTCTCCACTCCAGATCGCCCGCGGCCCGTGGGGGTGCATGGCGACGCTCATGCTCGGCCCCTCAGGTGGCGCCCGGTGTTGAAGGCGAGCCCTGCGAGGTGTGCCGCAGCGGTCTGCTTTTCGTCTCCCTCATCCTTGCCAGCGCATGGTGCGTCGCTGACCGAAATCCCCCCCTGCTTGCCGCCGTGCTCGGCCCTTCTGTCGACCTGCTCGCGTGGATCCTGAAAGTCCCCAGCGCCGAACGCTCCAGTGACTTGGGGCCCTTGCGCCCCCCCCCCCCCCCCCCCCCCGCATGCGCGCGCCGCCTCTGTGGGGCGTCGCTGGCCGATCCATCATTGAGCCTCAGCTCGCCCCGATCAAGCCGCAAAGAAGGGGGGGGGGGGGTGCGAGCCCAATATCCGGTCGGCCTCGGACCACCTCGGGCGCGCCCCTGCGCCTGCGCCTGCCAGCCCCGGCGGGGCCTGGAGTCGCCTTCTGGAGAGATACCTGGAGGC